CTCGGTAATCACGGAGCTCCCCTGTCGGTAACTGACTCGTGGCACAACACACCACACCGGTCAACCGGCGACTCCCCTGTCGACCCCCGTTCGATGTTGGGCGACTTCCACCAACCCGACCGCCGTCTGAACACGAGATCGTCTTGTTTTGCTGGCATTGCTTCGGTGGCCGTTCTCCCAAACATCCATATCCCCAGTGATCCCGTCGATGTTGACAGCTTGTCATCTCGTGGGTTTCCACACCTCTTTCATCCAGTCCACCTCTTCGATGATTTCCATCCACTCCCACACGCCGGCAAGGACGGGACATGAATCGCAAAGTCGGTGCCAGTGTATATTTATACTCTCGCAAAGCGGAGGATCTGCGTTGCTTCACGCCGTTCCTTGTGAGTGTTTCTTGGCTCCGTCTGGGTCGCCGCATTTGACAAGCAGCCGGCATGAATGCGGGTTTGTCGGCGGCGGAGGTCGACACATGGATGCAGGGCCGGGATGACCTTCGTTTCCTGTGGCGGTTCGGTGCACCCTTGTGCCTGAAAAGAAACGGTCAGGATTCGGCCGGGAGGTCGACCGGGAAGCAAAGTCGTTGCCGTAGCGGCCCGGTTTCATGTGCCGGACTCCATCGGCCCAGTTGCACTGGCACACATGACCGTCGGAGGCCGGATGTCGTTGATCCAGGCAGTTGCCACCCCCCGAAACAACCCCGTCTCCGCTCTCGTCGCCCTTCCGCACTCCTTCTGTTCTGCACCAAAACCGATTTCCCATATGGGCGACCAGGAGCCTCCTCCGGCCGGCGTCGTGGCCACTTGTCCGGGTTCACTAGTGATACCCTAGTGTAGTGATCGCGGCCGGTAGTCGTCGGCGTTCGGGATTGGTGTTGCTTGAGATTCTCATCCCCAGAACTGTCTGTTGCCGCCAGGAAGTTGGCTCCCTCGGCATGTTTAATCCATCACTCGCTTGTTGCTGCTGGGCTCTTTTGTCGTCTTGGCGATCCGTCGAAAAGCTGGAGTCTCCGAAGAACACAAAGATCTTCTAGAGATGCTTCGGCGAGATTCGTGTCGTTGGCCTCCCTTTTATACCCAGACCACCCCTTTCAGCTCCTTCGTCATTCCCAATCGGCAATTCTGGTTCATCCAATCAAGCTCTCCATTCCTTCCTGGCTCTCTCTGCAGGGCGTTGTCATCACACTCACACCCAAGTGCCTGACAGCCACTGGTAGAGGCATGGTGACGTGCATGGTTGTCATGGAGGGTCGCTGCTCATGTTGATGCTTCGCTTACAGCGGTACCTTGAAGAAGTCCGTGGGGTTAATGCCCAAAGTTCTTCTCTCAATCTCTGTGTGAGCTCATCGTTGTTGGACAACCGTCTGTCTTCCTTGCGTTGCTTGGTCGGGGGCCCTGTTCTCTGAAGCCGAGCTTCTGGGCGCCAGGCCCTGTCACCATTCGATGCAACTCATGATGCCTCTCCATGGTGTAGTTCGAGAAACGGCAAAACGAGACCTTGAGCACTTTTCCTCGTTCCCTTGGTGTATGGCTCGTCACTGTCGGACAGGTGACTGGCCTTCCCAATCGCCGCCTAGTCCCGCGCCCAGCACCTGATGAAGTGGGCTCGGCGACAAAGATGTCTGTCGCCATTCCTCACCATCTCCGCGATGGTCATTCCGTTGCGTAACACGATGCGCAACGTCGTGACGGGATGAAGATCTGGTCAAGACCGTCCTCGCTGGGAGGCATCTTGGCGCCAAACAGGCTCAGTGCTTCAGCATCACGGCCAGACACAAGGTCAACAACGATCAGTCGTCTCCATCACGGAGTTTCACTTAAAGTTTCTTAAGATTAAGATTCGGTGTTGCACCCGTCCGATAACCGACGGATGCCAACCACCCGGCTGGCCTGGAGAGCAAACACTTTGGCATACTGTAACACCTGTCAGTTTCCGCGCGTTTAATCGAAAGTCTAAACCTAGACGGCGATAGAGTTCGCTTGGGGGCCAATCGTACCATTCCCACCTCGCTTCTGACATTGATGCGGTGGAAGGAAACAACAGACCAGTCCGTGTAACCTCACGTGTGATTTGAGTCGGGTCCCTGCGATGCGACAAGGCTATTCCAACGACCGTCGAAAGTCGACTCGAGAGGATAACCACCAGTTTGGCGAATCCTCGCCGTCAAGGAAATAATCCCATGATAGCCGGAACCTCAACTTGGCGCTCGGATCGGCCCAACCCAATTGTCGTGTTGGTAACGCATCGCATTCCTTTCTTCGTCAGGAGACAGCAATCGAGTCAAGCGACAGGATCTAAAACCTCCCAAGAAAAAACGGTTTGGGCATTTCGACGACACAACAACAACACCGATGGGATGGAATTGGGAGCAGCAGGCTATCTTCTAATTGTAGGAAACGTTACATGCAGGCACCCAACATCTGCAACAACAACCGAGCCCTCGGTTCGGTAACCAGAGGGTCACACTCACACACTTCACATTTCAGTCTGGCGCTGGGAAGTCGTCCAGTGTTCAGTCGTCTTTCTCCGCACTCTTGACATTCTGGGAGACACGGCCGGGGCCCGGGGGTTTGCAGATGCAGGGAGCGGAGCGGGGGAGATGGAGAGGTTGGGGAAAGTGGAGACACCCTGACGAATCACCTTTCTGTTCCCCAGATTGGGTCACGTGCTGTTTTGCTTGATTTTGCAGGCATCCATTCGTTGAAACCTTGTCGCGTTTTCGACAGCGAAGAGAACGCAAATGCAAACCGTTGTTTGCTCAAAATTGCGGTTCCAATGGCCCACGCTTTTCGATGCCAGCAGTTATCTCAATCAACAGCCTCAAGCTACTGCTACTGTAGGCAGACACGATACAGATACGAAGTATGGAGTCTCGAGGCTATCTCATTCGGGCCGGTGTCCTTTTTTTCTTATCACACATTCGTTTTGATTTGCTTGACTTCTTTTCCGCCCCCCCTTCACGAAGCCCAAATGATGACGGGAGTGATCATTCCCCCAACGAGCGCAAGAAGCTTTTGGCGTCGCGGGCGGGTCCTGCTGCCAAGCGGCGTGGCTGGAACCTCGTTTCTTTGCGGCGCAGTTGGGCGATGCAACTTTGTTGTCGTGGAAGTATCCCGCATCTTAAATTGCTAGCCTCTGCCGCCAAATCAAGCGATCATACTAACAGCACTTGGACTGCTATACTTATCGAACATCATCTTGCATTCCACTTTTCCCACTTACACCTCAGCACTTCCCCAAAACGGGTCTTTAAATCCGACACGATTATCAACATATCTCTGACCGACTCCACGTGAGTTCGCTGTCTATTGATTCCGTTGTTTCGTTTTGTTTTCCTCTCATGCCTCTGGCTTTGCTCCAACGAGCCGTCATCTATCTGTTTCAACAACGTCCCGTCTTACGCCGTCTTGCCGTCTTGTTTGTACGCATTTCCGCATTCCATCTGTCTCAGATTGCGCCGTGGCTTTGATCAATCTGTTCAATAAATCCAGCCTCCATTTGTTATACCCGTGCGAGCCGTGTAACAGCGGGGAAAGCTACAGCATAGTTGTCACGTAGCCTGTTGCCCTCCTCTTCCTCTCGAGTCTCGACAACCAGGGGATTGCTTTCAATAAATTGTTGGTCGATTCGAAATGGCCATTGGTTCAACCAATGTCAGCCCTTACGAATTACGATAGCCGAGCGTTACATCGGTGGTGGATTAGCTTGCGGGATGGCACTGGCTCGACTGGGCACTGGGGCACACGATGGCTCACTCTTTCGTCCTGTCTTTTCTTCTGTACCCTGTCCTGTCTAGGCTACAGGTACCCTGCCTGCAGCATGCAGTGCGGTTGTGTGCGGTCGTGTGCGTACAGTGTTACAGAGCTTCGTCTGATTCACTTTCTATTCTTGACTTGCGCCGTGTCACCGTAGGGAGGGAACGAGGTTACCTACCTTTTGGCATCTGGGAAAGGTCGCGTATCGTCATCCATCTCAACGTTACTACTACCCTCTTACTTGAACATCCAACACATCCTTTGGGCTGTACCGTACCGTACTGTACCCTATCTCGTGCTCTTTTCAAGTGAAAGCAGCGGCTTTATCACCTTATCTGTCAAGTGGCATTGAGAACTCGGATATCAAGCGGGAACCAGGATTGATATCGAACGGGAGAGGTGCTGCATGGTTGATGAAGTGGCACACATGATCTATCACCCTTATCTTGATTCGTCTTTGGCTTTGCTGTTTGCCGTGTCTTTGGAGGTCTTCGGCGAACCCGTCGTACGTAGCAGGCGACTAGCACCGGCCACTCCTTCCAGTTCCAGATTTGGATTCCCACGGTGCGCCGTACCACCTCCCCGGTCCTCGACCAGTCCAAGTCGCACACAAGTTCCCCGCGCCCACGCCGTCGAGACTTGGCGCTTGACTCTTATTCTGGTCTTCCCCCAATTCTTGACCTCCAATTCACTTCCCTTCCCCCTTCTTCATTCCTCTAAATTGCTTTCCCCTCAACTGTCGGGAACTGTTTACCCATTGACCCAGCAGTTCACGACAACGCCACCATGGCCGACGAAAAGCAACCGGCCGTCGCCCCGGCCCCCGATGCGACTCGCGAAGTCACCAGCAAAGATGGCTCCCACGAAGAGATCACCACTCCTACTCGTCCTCCCGGCTGGATGTACAAGGGCTTCAGGGTCTTCGGCCACGAGCTCTGGTACGCCTCGCCCCTCGTCCAGCTTCTCTTGGTCGCCTTGGTCTGCTTCATGTGTCCCGGCATGTACAACGCCCTCAGCGGTCTCGGCGGCGGTGGACAAGTCGACCACTCGGCCCAGGACGACGCCAGTACCGCGCTTTACTCAACTTTCGCTGTGGTCGCCTTCTTCTCCGGCTCCATCGCCAACAAGCTCGGCGTGCGCTTGACTCTTTCCTTCGGCGGTCTGGGATACGTCATCTACATTGCTTCTTTCCTCAGCTACAACCACAACCAAAACCACGGCTTCGTCGTCTTCGCCGGCGCTCTTCTCGGTGTTTGCGCCGGTCTCCTCTGGACCGCCCAGGGCACCATCATGATGTCCTACCCCACCGAGGACATGAAAGGCCGTTATATCTCCTGGTTCTGGATCATTTTCAACCTCGGCGCCGTCATCGGCTCCCTGATTCCCCTCGGTCAAAACATCCACAAAGTCGCCGGCCCCGTAACCGACGGCACCTACGTCGGCTTCCTAGTGCTCACCTTGATCGGCGCCATCCTGGCCCTGATGCTCTGCGACGTCGACAAAGTCCAGCGCGAAGACGGCAGCAAGGTGATCATGATGAAGAACCCCTCCTGGATCACCGAGTTCAAGGGCCTCTTTGAGACCATCACCTCCGCCCCCTGGGTCGTCCTTTTGTTTCCCATGTTCTTCGCCTCCAACACCTTCTACACCTACCAGTCCAACGACATGAACGGCTCCCAGTTCAACACGCGCACCAAAGCGCTCAACAACACGCTCTACTGGCTCGCGCAAATCTTTGGCGCCGTCATTGTTGGTTATGCCCTGGATTTCGCGGGCGCGAGACGCTCGGTTCGCGCCAAGGGCAGTTTTGTTATGCTGATTGTCCTGACCATGGCTATTTGGGGCGGCGGGTACGCGTGGCAGAAGGATCAGCCGACGAGGGAGGAGACGGCTGAGAAGGACTTTGTGACGGTCGATTGGACGGATGGTGGGAAGAAGTATGTTGGCCCGATGTTTTTGTACATGTTTTATGGGTTTTATGATGCCGCTTGGCAGACTTGCATTTATTGGTAAGCTTTCCCCTTTTCTGGGTGGGATCGGTTCGGGCCGGTGGACGACGATGCTTGGTGTTGCAATGACGAGGAACTAACGGAGTTTTGTGCAACAGGTACATGGGCGCTCTCTCCAACTCCGGCCGCAAGGCCGCCAACCTCGCTGGTTTCTACAAGGGCATTCAGAGCGCTGGCGCTGCTGTGTTCTGGCGCTTGGACGGCTTGAAGAAGCCTTTTGATACCATGTTTGGTGCTACTGTAAGTTTTCTTTCCCCGTCTTCCCCTGGATCTTCTCCAAGTACTGACCAGTTCTGTCACAGTGGGGTCTCCTAGGCGGCGCCCTCCTCATCGCCGCTCCCGTCATCTGGATGAAGATCCAGGATACCGTTCCCCTCGAACAAGATCTTAAGTTCAGCGACGAGACCGTTGCAGATGTTGCGGGAGCCCAGGGGGTTGCTGGTCAGGCCCAACCCGAGGCGGTGGGTGCTAAGGAGACGGCTAAGGAGGTCGTTTGAGCTTGGTTCTCGACGATCTTTCTTGCTTGGAGTTGTTGCTCATGTGCGGGTAACGGAACGCACCAAATATGGGATTTGTTTGAGTAATGTTGGAATGAAATATACGAGAAGGTAATGCAGAAATGGGGTGGATGGGTGGATAATCTGGTCGAACTTGTCGGAGCTCAGGGGATTGCTGTTTATGGATTATATGATACCACGACGGACGGACGGATGATACAACTGACGCCGTACATAACTTTCTTATAGTAATGTAGTGATGACTGTAACTTTCTTGGTGTCATAGTGCCTATGTCATTGTGTATTTGGATTCATTTTCGGCGATCTCGGGGTCCTACCGGCATCGTTTGGTGTCAGTTGACTCGTGACAGCAGTTTGCACCTTGAAGCTATCGCCATGTCTTGGCATTGATTGGCGCTAGAGGAGTGTAGGTGGATCACTGGACACGGTCCAAAGCAAGGTCACCCCGTCGACCCTTCAAAACTTTATGTCAACCACGTCGCATTTCCGTTTGTTTCGTTTCGTCTTGATCACTGACTCTGCCTTTATCCAGTTGCATCAGCTCATTTCTCTCCAACGAGTGCCCGTCGGACGACGGTGAACAGTCTTCGCAACGACCCCTTCCCACCCAACATACTCTGCCAATGGTACAAAGTACTCGTCAGGGATACAAGAGAACTGAAATGATCTACCTTGGACTTGTGGCAGGGCAAGGAAGCGATGGAGGCGATCAAGCCGAATGATGATGCATTGGAGCACAGTCAATACAGAATTGAAGATATAAGCAGCCTTCAAGAAGAGAACAAGCACATACGACCATAGATGGTAGAAAACTCGGGATCCCGTCCGCTCTCCCATAGATAAGCTACCATATCGGAGGACTATCTATGGGAGCCGTTTTCGACAGGGGTTTGGATGACTCAGCTGAAAACGCCGCCCCCGTTTCTTGTACCGTTTTCCCATTGCCTTCGCCGTCGAGTGCACCGTTCCACTTACGCCAAGCCCAGCTGAGGGGGCTAGGCATACACTACACAACCTACTTACCCCTGCCATTTACCCCTGACACCTACTCCATATACTTAGTACTTCTAACTGGGAGGTGTGGTTGGCTTTTGGGAGGTGTGGTTGGCTTTGGTAAACACTCTTCTCCGTACGTATATCACTTCAGGCGAGTTAGAAGGGCCTCAAGATATATATTGCGTCTTTACCCTCAGATTCCTGACTGAACCAAACAAGCACACTTTTGTCCCATTCTCATTGCATTCACTGTATATCCATTCTTCCCAGTTGATTCTACCGCATGAATTACGGCCCCTACGTTGCGAGGGTTGCGTTGGTTTTTCATATGAAACCCTCCTTCCGAGTTTTCTAATGAATTTCTCCTCCCAAACATACTGAGCTCGTTAGCTATTGCAGCTTGAGAGGGTATTGTTTGAGTCTCACGGTGCCGATCACACTCCATCCATATGTAATACGGAAGGGATGGAGCTACAAAAACCGCCGATACCGCCGATTGTACCCGACGACGAAGAACGGAAAAGAAGAGCATTTGCCGACGTCGACGAATTTACGGTAACAACACATGAGCGTTCGCTTTGTAAGAAGACCAAAGCCGAGCGAGAACGCGCGTGGTGTCTATGGAATAGGTATGTACCTTATCATTTTGCTGTTTTCTTTAATATTGCGTACTAACGCCTTTTAGATTTGTCACAGATGTGTTACAATTAACACAAAAAGAGGCTGATAAGGTTTGGTTTGGCGTGTGCCAAAACAAGAAAAAGTCCATTGCTATCTGCAAGAGCTTTCTGGCCGACTATACACGCTATGCAAGATGCAGGCGTCTGTATATAGACGGTACCGAGGAACAGAAGCAGGTACCAACAGTTCAATCAGTAGTGACTATTATTGCTTTATGGAAGCATATAGTAGCTCAAGCTGATGCTGTAGTGCTCGCGAAGAGAAGGGATCATGATTCAAATGAAGATTCAGACGAATGTTCCGAACAATGGACATTGCTTGGCAACCGTGGGAAGGCCCGTGGAGAGGTTATCCAGGTAGATTCCCTCCTTACCCGTACCGATACTGTGTACTGACATTTCTTCTCACAGTGGATCCAATCAACTCTTGCACAAAAGTTCAACCTCTCATGCAAACAAACATTTGAGAAAACCGAAGCCACAACAGACGATGTTCTGCTTATTCTTAGCACTTTGTGGGAACGCGCAGTCGATATACCTTGTGATCCTAGACATCGGCTTGCCTTTCATACATTGGTGCTGATAGGAAGCATTGGCTTTCGGCCCGGCACTTATGATAACATGCTTTATCGACAAGTCAAGCTACTTGTCATTCGCGATCCGGATACAAAGCAGGCAAGGCTTGTCGCTGAGATCACGATCAATCAAAACAAGCTATCGGCTAACAAAATTGATAAGGGGGCAGATGTGTATGTATTCTTGCCTTTAACCGTTGATCCAAACTAACTCTTTCTAGGGTGACCTTTTCTGCTACTATGGTACCATGCCAGATCGTTTGTTTAGTTACGTTTGTAGCTATTCAAGCTCTACATGATGATGCCTTCAAAACAGAGTTTTCGTCCTTCGACGAATTACTTCAGCGTCCAAACTTGGAAGATGTTGATTGCATTGAACTTGGGTGGAAGGATGGGATGCAGGAAAAGCCTATCTTTCCCTTAAAGTACTACAAATATCTGGAACTTTGGAACCGGACATGGTTGGTAGCGGGCAACAGAAACACTCTCCGGCCCTATGCGCTGCGAATCGGCGGTGGAAATAAAATTGATGGTAAGAACCCTTTACCCGTTTCCCTTACTATTTTGCTTACAATTTTTACACAAGGTTCCCTTACATCCGCTATTCGAAACCACATCCTGAGCCATAACACAAAAACATTCGAAACCTCTTACCAAGCGAGGCATATTCCACACAATTTGATGTCATTCGTTTTCGATAGTACATCTGAAGACGATTCCAAGCTATTCAAGCTATTGGCCTCCGCATCCTTGCGCAGGGATGACAAAGCACCGCTTTACCCGACAGCGGCTACGCTAGAAACGTTTGAAAATCGCGAGTATATGAAAGCACTTCGCGCACAGCGTCGTCACTTCCGGGAAGAGCTCAAACTCTCTGCAGACCATAGAGAGGTAAAGCAACTTACCGCAAAAATTGGAGATCTACGGACGGTATTGTCAAAGTTGGCTGTCAAGCAGGCTCGAGAAAACTACTTCGCTGAAGTTGATTCCCTTAGGGCTCGTGGCCTATCAACCGAAGATATGCCAGCCCCCCCTCCAAATCCTTTCAGATGCTCCTTCGGTCCCAGTTTACCTGCAGCAACAATCATTGGTCGATACTTGAACCCCAAAGATCCGGTTTCCGACACCGCTACGAAAATAGTTTTTCCAAATTCGACCGACAGTGGTTCTGACCAAACTACCCAAAAGCGGCTTGCAGTATCGGAAATGCTTTTTGCGTATCTGAATGATAGGTACGGAGAAGTAGAAGGGATTGCTCAGGAAATGGAGCAAACAGCCTCCGAACATAAGAAAGCAGCTTCCACGCTCTCTACATGTCTTCTCTGCCTACAAAGCTTCACTCGTCGACGTAACCTCAGTAGACATCATCGGAGCGTCCATTTCACGGCAACGACCTTTGAACCTTTCTCATGCCCCGAATGTCAGCGGCAAGGAAAGGAAGAGTATAGAATCGAGAGGGCATCGGAGTGGAGTAACTATGTCGAAAGAGTACATGGTTCCATCAATACTCCGGATCTCTTCACTAAGCCAATCGTCAAACCCAAACCAATGGCTACAACTACCAAGTCGAAATCCGCTCCTTGTTTAAGATGCGGCCAATTGTTCTATGCCGGAAATAGTTTTTGAAGGCATATGAATAAGTATCACAAAATCGACAAGCCAGTCGATTGTCCCAAATGTAAGGGAGAAGGGGAGAATATCCAGATTAGTGACCTCGCTTCGTGGCTTACACATACGTCGGATGTTCACGGTTGTAATGGGCAAACAGGAGTTGTTATTGATAAGGAATGCCTACCAAAACAGGGACAGAAGAAGAGGAAAGGAGAAAACATAGTGGAGGAAGCTATAAAACGTACTAAATTAGAATCCTAAGTATATAGAATACAAACAAGAATGCTGTCTCCATCTCTCCCACCGAGATATCTCCTCCTGGAACCACGATGCCACATCTCGCTCTCTACAAGCGTGCTCTGATCCAAAGTATAATCGACTGTAAACTAAAGGTGACACGGATCCAAAAGATGACGACTCAGCAGAAATAGTCGGCTGTACTGCCCGCGCGATCCCCGCATCCGATCAAACCTGCTTCACTTCGGAACTACAACGGCACCACCAAACGGCAATCTCGCTTTGTTGGGGCGGCCTCACGCCACAAATAGGTTGACTCGGGGATTCGCGACATTGCGATGTTCACGTTGAAGAATCTTCCAGTAGCTCGCTACCTTCGCCCTTCTCAAAAGAACTAGAACTGGAAGTGATACACACTATTGCGTCATAGACTCTAAACATCCAAGGCATCCGTCCTAGATTCAAGAAAATTTTCACCTGTTGGTGATATCCAATACATATGACACCGTGAGATATACAGTATCGTTAAGTCATCCTTGTATAACTAGGCCATCACTTTGAGATGCTACGTTTTCCTGACCCGCCAGTCTCTCCTCTCTCCATAGCAGACACATCATACTCAATCAACCGTATACACGCTTGCTCGATCTCACAACATCTCTGTTCCAAGCCCAGAAACCCTGCCCTTGTCACAATGAAGGCCAGTATATAAAGACGGCCTTTCCAGGCCTCTTTAGATACTGGCTCTTCAGCAAGCAACAACTGATACAATCGACCAGTACCTTTCGGCTACTACTACCATTATTCTTATTTCCCAGCGATATACTCCTGTGCTTGTAACGGTTCGTCACACGTTGCTTGCTCATCAATTTGCACACTAGTATTCTGGGATCTGCTGCTGCACCCAAAGTTTCCTCAATCAAGTTTTCCTCAAACCTCACCTTGTGTCACACGGACACTCGCCGGTGACATTCACCAACACTTCAGAGATAGAGTTATTGAGGCTCTGCGGCCTCAAGGCGTAGGATCAGCCTCATCGATGCCTTGCGGCCTCAGACGTCAAGGATCAGCCTCGCCCAACCTAACTCCCTGTCACCGACATCAACACAGCCGAAACGTCACCAGGCTATCGAGCCAACCTTCGAACTGCCGACTGAAATTACC